CTTCATGGTCTTGCCTATGTTTCTCTTTACCTTTTCACAATCCTGTTCATCTTGAGCTATTGTTGAGCCCCCAAAACAAAGCCATCTACTACTTTCCGTTTTTTGCTATTGCTTGTAAGTTTATGAAACATGCTGGTTGACATTATCTTTGTCTTAATATTTAGCTGTAGTTTTCCATTGACTTTTCATAACGATCTTTTCTTTTTCACTTGCATTTAATGCCCTCTGTGTATCTCAGATCATTAGTACTTCAGCCGCCATTTTTGATTCCAGATGTCATCTGTCCCTATCAATTTCATTCTTATATTTGCCATTTAAGTTGGACTCATACGGTTATAGCATGCTTCCTTCTCTGATCTGTGATTTGAACAACCGTTTCTCCAGCTCATTACAGTAATTTTTTGATCAGTGGAGAAGTATCATACTAAAGACTAAATTATTGTGGCAATCTCTCTTTCCCAGGACGTTTACTTTTCTACAAATTAAACTGTTTTTGCTTGAAAATGGTTAGATAGAATTAACCACTGTATTAATCAGCCCTATCCCAGCTACTATATTATGCTTCTCTAATGAAAGAGGCATTGGTGACCTACTCACAGCCCACCTGATTTGCCAAAGCCCATTGACTTACCTGAGTAACACTCACTCCAACAGTTTCTGCATTTCTCAAAGCAGTTGTTCCAGCAGAATCATTTATACTCCAGCATTAAGAACACACCTCTTTTAATAGGATGCTGAGCTGCTTTAATCTTGTCAGGACCTGACTGAGAAACCTCAAGCTTTATTTGCCCCAGACAACACCCACGTGCTTAGGAGAACTAGAACTTCTCACGCTGAGAGCATGACACGAATGACGCTCCACTTACCCATCTCTTAACAAGATAGTGACATCTGCAACTTTGGTCTGGATTTTTGATCTAATCCTTGCTTCTATCAAACGTTGCTCAGGGACAGTTTTAAAGGCAACTCCCTGTGGTTCACAAATCTGTGGGCAATCATGAACTCCTAAAAACAGGTTGAATCAGTCTCACAACTTGGCAAGGTAGCCAATCTCTCCTGTTGCTTCCCTTGTGTCATAAGGCATTCAATTAAATTTGGATTCACACCCTGGGAGATAGGTATGTTACTACAAATGAAAAGGAAATGCCTTCTGCACACTTCCTGAAGACGTGTGAACAATCTTGTGGATCAGAACATAAATGTTAGGAACATGCATTGAGAGATTTAATTACCTTTTAAGATATCTGCAAGTAAGAAAGATAGCTACTTTTTAACGTTGGCAGATATGGAAACTAATGGAAACTGCATAAATCATAGATAGCATTAGCATGTCTAAAAATGGGTTTTGCAGAAACCAAACCTACAGACTATATACAAATGGATATTTTGCATGATTGAGGGAAAACTGATAGTCAGATTTTGACTACTGGATAAAGGAGCCTGTTTGGTCTAGCGCAGGGGTAGGCAACCTTGGCTCTTTTATGATTCGTGAACTTCAACTCCCAGAATTCCTGAGCATGGCTCAGCTTGGAAACCTCTCCCTTTCCCCTCAGCATGGCTGGCTCAGGAATTCTGGGAGTTGAAGTCCACGAGTCATGAAAGAGCCAAGTTGCCTACCCCTGGTCTAGCGGTTAAGGCACCGGGCTACAAAGGGGGAGACCATAGTTCTAGTCCTGTTTTAGCCATGAGAGCCAGTGGGTAACCTTGGACCAGTCATTCTGTCAGCCCAACCCACCTCACAGGATTGTTGTGGGAAAAATAGGAGGAGGAAGATGTGCTGGATATGTTCATTGCCTTGAGTTATTTGTAAAAATAATAAAGGCAGTATACAAATAAATATACACAAATTAAAAAGGCAAATTGATAGCAACAAATCCGGTAATTCACAAGGCATCATACATCTTGTAGACCCAAACATCCAACTAAATTACTAAAGAAATTTGGCAAAAGAAACCTTGCAATCTGCTAAACAAAAAACAAAAAAACCCCACCAGGTGGGCCTGAGGAAATTTAGCATCTGTGGCTTAAGATTTGGATAAATCCAGCTGATTTATTTGATAAGCCAAGATTTAGTACAATATACTAATCAAGGAGAGAAGCAATCTAGAACTAAGGAGAAACTTCCTGACAGTTAGAACAATTAACCAATGGAACAACCTGCCTCCAGAAGCGGTGAATGCTCCAACACTGGAGGTTTTTAAGAAGAGACTGGACAGCCATTTGTCTGAAATGGTATAGGGTTTCCTGCCTGGGCAGGGGGTTGGACTAGATGATCTCCAAGGTCCCGTCCAACTTTACTATTATTATTATATAGATCCAATGCATATTCCCATCCAAACTGCTTTGAATGACAAAAAATAAATTTTATCTTAAGGATCTTTGATGGGCATCTATCTTGCCAACCATTAGCTACTATGTAATCTCACTAACAGTTAAGCAATTTTCTCTGCATATTTTGCTATTTTTGTAGATTTTAAAAATGCATTGTCATTTATATTTTAAATCTACTTTGAACATTCTTCAAAGGATGTTTACATACAAAGGATGTAAAGTATGTGCTATAGCAGACCTCTGTAGCTATTCTTTGCTCTCAAGCTTATTTAAATTTAGGATAGAAGGTTTTACAAATATTAAAGTTCTGGAACTAAGCACTGAATCAGCAAAGAGGAGATCTATTTATCTCAAACCCAGGTCAGTTACACACACTGACACTCAATGGATATTTCCCCCAAAATACACCTGCACACAAGAGAAACAACTCTTTTTCTTATAAAAGTTTATTTAAACCCAGATCGGGCTTTGTAGATACTGGGGCCCAAAAGGGCGAGGCACTATCTTATGTGCTTGCATAAATGTACATGAGAGGCAGTAGTAACAAAACACACAAGTCCACAAATATAAAGTAACAACCTGAACTGGCGTATAAATATTATTTAGTAATAATTGCTAGCGGCAGCAGGTTTAGAAACTGTTGCTGGCAATATCCCAGAATGGATCTCCAGTTTTGCAACCCTTCCCTTTCTTGCGTTATCATCTGATCCAGCTCCCATTTAGTTATTAAGAGGCACAATATTTGTGTTAAAGAAACAGAAATTTAAGACTGCTCAGCTTTGTGCAGATACAGAGAACCACATGCTCATATTTTAGCATGGTCAGGAAAAGATCAAGGGGAGACTTTTGTTCTCTCTCCATGATCTACGGAAGCAGAGAGTCTATTTTAAGGTCACTATGAACCTCTGTTTTCCAGATATCTTTTAAGATTCGGATTAAAAATGGAGTCTTGTTTACCTTCCCAGATGAGAGCTAGAGCAAAATATTCATGTTTTTTTTAGTAAGTTTGGATTTTCAACATTAGGATATCATGCAGGCTCATCATCTCGCCTGCTTCATTCAGGATAAGCAAGTTTGTGGCAAGCACTCTTTTGACTGACGACCAATGCTGGCCAAAGTTTGTTGAGTCCTGTTTAGATGACCATGACTAATAAATCTGCGTGAAAATTCAACTTGAATCTTCACCTCAAATATCTACTGTCAGTGTTAACTGCTTGGGGATTCAGTGTCCTCCCCTTCTCACTAAGTGGAAAGACCAGAATTCAGAACAAATAGTGAAATAGATTTGGCTAAGAAAAGGCTTTGACCTCCATATAAAAGATGGGGAATCACTGATAATCTCATGTAACCCAAAGTTTTCTAGGAAAAAAAAGGCTATTGCTGCTCTTTTTTCAAAACACAAGTTCTTACTCAAATATTAAGAGTACTTTGGCCTAATTTATTAATATGATTAAGGGTAAACATAAAAGTCCCCCTTTGACCCCTCAGTTTCTAAGGCAAACAAAAAAGAAAGGGGATGGGCGGGAGAATGGAGGCCCAGAAAAATCAAGATGAAAAGATATTTGCCAAAGCTAAGAAAACATCCAGAGCACCAGACTTTCCCTATATTAACCAAAATCTCAGTAGCACTTGCAAGCTACCACATGGGATGCCTAAAACTGAAGAGATGGAATGAGGAACAACCTGGGCCATTCACATTCATATCCAAAGTCTCCGAGATTAAAAATCTATGAGAAGAGGCAAGAATCCTATCAGGAACTTCAAACAAGAAACTCAGGATTCTTAAAAACTATTAGAACTGCACGATTCTGCCGGCATCTTTGGAAAAGGTTTTCTTTGGAATGAAAGCTTGGCTTGAATGTGAACAAAATTTGAGGTTCTTGTGAGAAGAGAAGAGGATCGGAGCCAGGTTTTTCTCAGAGGTTCAATTAATACCCACCTACCCCGACCTTGCCCTTATTTATGGATGAACTTTTGTACACTTTTGAATGAGATTAGGTCTTTACTTTTTATTTCCTTCCCCATATAAATTAGGGCAATAGTGGAGAAGTCGAGCTCTAGAACTTGGCTTCAGACCTGGAATGGCTGAATAGGAATGGATACATGGGGTAAAGTGGGGAGAGGTTATCAAGTCAGTTTGGGGCTGTACCGGAGAGGGGAAAAAAAAATTTTTACACTCAAAATGATAGCAGGTAAACGCTTAGCATCAGCATAAAAATGAGGCTCCCCCAATGGAATATCATGCTAAATAAATAAGTTGCGACCTGCAGAGACATAGGCATATATCCACGTTACATAAAAATAAAGTCAATCCTGCTGCCCCAAGGAGGTGGGGGGTCCTGAGTCGTACAAATCATATAAGAAAAAGCCTTGAAACTGCTTGCCTGGTGCCAGTCTCTGCCCCCTTGCCAGCGGACAGGGCCAGGCAGAGTCCTTGTGTAAACAAAACATTACCCCTTGGTCTCTGTTGTCTTGTGTAAGGGCCATGTGACAGCCCCATTGTCTAGTCAGTTGGGCAGGATTACTGCCACACCATTGGGATTTCAGAAATTGCCCCCCCCGGCAATTTCCCGCTCAGCTACTCAGCAGGAATAAGAAACAGTGATTAGATTAGTCCTTTGGTGCACGAGAAGCCACGGTGCTTTTGCTCCTTGTATGACAGGCTGCCCCTATTCTGTCCGGAGGCTAGTACCACCTTTGTGGGTGGTGGGTTGCTGCACTTTGCGCCCGCTTGGCTCCAAGAAGGTGAGGATCCAGGGATGAGCCAGAATCTGCTCCAAGGAAGGTCGCTTCTCTGGTGTTAACGAGAGGCACCATTCAATCAAGTGGCGGCAATCTATCAAAGAAGGAAATCATTACTGCATCACCCTATGGACAAACCACTCGACAAGGCTTACGTCATTACAGCAGTGATTGTGCCATTTTGCCAAAGCGTACCTACTTTCACACAGCCAAAATCTATGGATTGATTGCATTGTTTAACCAAACTTGAGGGAGTCATTCAGACAGATAATCATAAATTCATGCAGTAAACTGGTCCATCCAATGACAACTGCTTGTCAAGCATCCTTAACATTTCCAGTCAAAGCCACTGTGAAGTTCTAAGCATTCATTGGCTGCCATGTTTATGGGTCCCAAACAGAGGGCTAGCCTTAACCCACATAGCTCTACATGGCTTGGCTCTAATGGGTCTTCAGGATTGCCTGTTGTACTGGTCCAACATGTTCTTCTGAAAAAGGGGTTCTAAAGGTTGTCACAATATGGGGTGAAGGAGCTGAAGGGGGGAAACCGAGACAGTCCTCCTTGGGAGCAACTCCCACATTATTAGTTTATCCAAGGTTTCTGAGGGGTGCAGGACAACGTGCTCAACAAAACAGTAAGACCATTATGTTTCAAAGAACACGTATGTGCTGATGAGGGTTACAACCACATTTAATTTTGTTAGTTCGTGTTTTTATTGGTACAATAATTTACTTTAGCTCGGGCTCTGCCTGATTATAGGGTGTTGGTGTTGTTATTTCAGCCACCTAAAGTATTTTACTGGGGGTGGGAGATTTTTGCACAAAGAAGTCAGATCTTGCTTTCCAATGGCATACACAAAGAACTCTATAGGGAAATGGCCAATTTAATCCTACTAGAAAGCCACTTTGATGTAGTGGTTAAGGCAGCAGGCTAGAAACTAGGAGTCCTGCCTATGGCAGGGCTAGAACTCCTATTCTAGTCCTGCCTGTGTGACTTTGGTCCAGTCTGTCTCTCTTCCAGCCCTAGGGAGGAGACAAGGGCAAACCACGTTTGAAATCTTGCCAAGAAAACTGCAGGACTAATTCAGGCAATCGCCAGGAGTTACTGATAGGAAGGAAGGAAGGGAGAGAAAGAAAGTAGGAGAGAAAAGAAAGAAAGAGATGGAGACAGAGAGAGGAAGAAAAAGACTAGACAAGGCAAAGAATATTGGCCAGAACTGTCAACAGAAAAAAAAAACAAGTTTTCAACAGAAAGCCAGATAACTCCTTAGTCTAGAAGTTCCCAGACCACCACCCCATTTGGGCCCTGTGACATGAGCCTAAAAGACCCTCAGAATCTGACAGACATATTCTTTGCCCTAAGCTCACAGCAGTGCTCACCTGAGGATATCCTACAGTGATAGTGGAGTTTCCCAAGCAGGATCTCCTCATCACGTTCAAAAGGGATGTCCCCACATACCATATCGTATAGCAGCACACCCAGGGACCACACTGTGGCAGGCACACCATGATAGTGGTGGTATTTTATCCACTCAGGGGGGCTGTATACCCGCGTGCCTGTAGCAAGAGAAAGGAACAGCTGACAACGTTGCCCAAAGAGACTTCCTCAGAATTAAATGCTTGTAAACTGCATCTTTTTTATTCTTGTAAGACAAGAGTAGGCAGGCCATCCTGTTCAGATAAACAGTTCCACAGTTTAAAAAAAAAAAAAAGACCACCATGCTGTTATCCTCTATATAAAATGATTCTATGTGCAACCGTAGATGATACTAAAAATATTAAGATTTTTTTTCTCTGTGTAAAAATACTTTGTAAAATAATTATTTTGGAGAAAACAATCATGCAAACTTTTATGAATACTTTACAGTAACATACGCCAGACGTACATTTCCTCTCTCGTTTGCAACCAACTCTTATGAATTTAATACTATATGGGAGCAGACACTGCTAAGAATCCGGAATATCTAGAATTAATTTATAAATATATCAGCTGTACACTTAGCACACAGAATTTCTGCTTCCCAGAAATGTGAAAACTGAAAGGGTGCAAGGAATCAAAAGAGTAACTCGCACATATTTGGGAGATGAAAGTATTCTGAAAAATGCCTAAGCGTATGAGTTTCTTTAAGAAACAATGGCCACTCTTAATCTAAAACAAACAGCCTAGCTTAAGAAAAAAGATCAAATTGCTTTTACCTTTAACATACTTTTCAAAAGAATTCAAAATATGAGAGCCCTGGGAACTAGGTATTTAGCACAAAACAACATTCTTGAAGTCTTCAGACATATGATGAGACACATGGAGTATTCAGGAATGCTAATTGAACTCAATCCATTGTAAAGTTCTGTGTGTATCCTGAGCCATACCTAGAATGCAAGTCTCTGCATACAAAATTTGTATATATAAAGAGCTCTTCCTTATAAATGTCCAATGGATGTTTACAGATGGGGCATAGTTCTGTTGATGAAAAGGTAGCGATTAAGGCCTTAGAACTCTTCTGTGCATTCATGTAAATTATCAATATAACTACTCATTCCACACACAGAACACATTTTGCTTTAATTTATTGGTTGAGTGCTTCAGCAGGTGGCAGCAATTGTGAGGCTGAGCAGATAAAGGAGGCCACTAGGGTATAACCAAGGCTCCAAGCTAAACTGAAAATTAAAAAAAAAATATTCCAGAAAGAAATAACATTACTCTACTTATTGCTGAGAATGTCTATAGTCAGTGTCTGCAGAAATCAAGCATGATTCAAAAGAGGATTTGGTTAATTAGCTCAGAACTGAGCTAGGAAAAAAACCCAAAGGCCTCTTGTGTCTCTCTACCAACTCTCTGAAATTCTTGTAATCAGAAACCTTTCTGTGTCACCTTTCAAGACCAGCTTTTCTGAACCTGATATCCTCCATGGATTTTGGACTTCAACATCAATAATCTCCAGCCAAATGGTTACTTCAATTCAGGGGCACTGGGTTTAGGAAAGCTATTTTAAGGGACAGTTCTGTGATAATCCATTGTTTGCTATTATATTGGGTTCCATCTCTTCTTCATCTTCCATAAAAAGTTATCTTGTACAGACCCTTGGTCCATCTACCTGTATGTAACTCCACAGTGGCTAGAAGAAACTCACTGCAGTTGTCTTTCTTACATGCAAATGTCCCCTTCCTTCTCCCTGCCAACTACGCAGCCTCTATACTCACCATCAAAATCTGTGTATGGAGTATCCCGCAGCAATGCACCTGAGCCAAAGTCTATGAGCTTTAAGTCACCGTGCAGAAGGTCTACCAAGATGTTTTCATCTTTTATGTCTCGATGCAACACACCACACAGATGGCAATGGTGCACTGCCTCCACCACTTGCTGGAAGTAACCAGCAGCCACACTTTCTGGGAGGGGCCCCTGGTCTGTGATAACGTCAAACAGGTCCTGAGAAACAAGGGGTCGCTCCATAACGATGAAGTACGACTCAGGCTGCTCAAACCAATCCAGAAGACGGACAACACCTCGGCAACCTGGGGACGATACTTTCTTCAGCAGATGGACTTCCAGAGGGACGAGGGTGCCATTCTGGAGAAGAACAGAAATCAAACGGATAGGTCATTTGCCACAGCTCTACAAACAGCAAAGGTTTGGAGTTTAACTGCAAAAATGTCCAACGTGGAAGGAATGCTCACCATATGGTGGAACTGCAAGATTCGATCCTTGGCAACATGTTTAACAGCCACCTGAAAGAAGAAAAATGAGCAAACTTTTAAAATGTAATCTTTACAGGTTTCGAACAAAGATTGCTATGGCCCACAATGGTATCTAACCCAGTCCCTGAAAAATCACAGCATCCTTTATACAAGCCCTCCTTATGCCTACAAAGCTGGAGGAAGGTTGCATTTTCTCAGTATAAGCTACAGTTTTTCTCAAAGCTTTACTTTCAGAAACAAATACAGGTAGACCTTGTTTAATAATAATAATAATAATAATAATAATAATAATAATAATAATAATAATAATGATGATGATGATGATGATGATAAAGTTAGAAGGGACCTCAGAGGTCATCTAGTCCAACCTCCTGCTCAGGCAGGAAACCCTATACCATTTCGGACAAATGGCTGTCCAGTTTCTTCTTAAAAACTTCCAGTGGTGGCGCATTCACCGCTTCTGGAGGCAGGTTGTTCCACTGGTTAATTGTTCTAACTGTCAGGAAGTTTCTCCTTAGTTCTAGGTTGCTTCTCTCTTTGGTTAGTTTCCACCCGTTGCTTCTTGTTCTGCCTTCAGGCGCTTTGGAGAATAGCCTGACTCCCTCTTCTTTGTGGCAGCCCCTAAGATATTGGAACACTGCTATCATGTCCCCCCTCGTCCTTCTCTTCGTTAAACTAGACATACCCAATTCCAGCAACCGTTCCTTATATGTTTTAGCCTCCAGTCCCCTAATCATCTTTGTTGCTCTTCTCTGTACTTTTTCTAGAGTCTCAACATCTTTTTTACATCGTGGTGACCAAAACTGGATGCAGTATTCCAAGTGTGGCCTTACCAAGGCATTGTAAAGTAGTATTAATACTTCACGTGATCTTGATTCTATCCCTCTGTTAATGCAGCCTAGCACTGTGTTGGCTTTTTTGGCAGCTGCAGCACACTGCTGGCTCATATTTAAATGATTGTCCACTAGGACTCCGAGGTCCCTCTCGCAGTTACTACTATTGAGCAAGGTACCCCCTATACTATACCTGTACATTTGGTTTTTCTTGCCTAAATGTAGAACCTTACTTTTTTCACCATTGAATTTCATTTTGTTAGATAGCGCCCAGTGTTCAAGTCTGTCCAGATCCTCCTGTATCCTAAGCCTGTCTTCTGGAGTGTTGGCTATTTCACAATTAGAATAGTGATGAAAAATAACTGCAACCAGTCCTCACCTTTACAGGTCTGTAAAGCAAAGGAAATCTGAAGATCATATGCACAGTTGTAGTTTCATTTAGCAACTTCACTTAACGGCCAAATTACCAGGCCTAGTGGAGGTCACTAAACAAGGACTACCTTTGTAATAAACTAAATTGAAAGAATCTCTTTGGCACTGGGCAAAATATCTCTTATTCAGAATTATGGATTCTCTCCCAAATATTTTAACAGCATGGAACCAGGTGCCCATAGCTGCAGAACAGAGCGATGCTGTCCGTGACATTATTTTTTGTGGTCTACAACACAGGATGCTGTTTTCACTACCCTGTAAAAATTGTCTATGATCTAAAGTTCCCTATCAGTAAACAAGTTGCAAACAATATAATGTTTTGGTATTCCATAAGTAAAAAATTAATAATTTAACAATTGGAATATCTTTTGTCAGGAGGTCTATTGTTTAACATACACACACACACCCCTGCGCATCAATGCCACTAATTTTTCTGAGTAATTGAGAAAAAATTTGATGGAAACTATAGCTGCCTTTTGATGTCCAGTTACAAACATGTGGCAAAAATGCCTAGGCATGCATGCATTTTTTTTGGGTATTGAACTTGTATGATGCATTGTATAGTGATATATATGTAGCATCCTTGTACAGTTCATCATTATATGTATTGAACACCTATGGAAAAAGAAATCTACTGCTATACGAATTGTGATTGGAGCTCTTGGAGCACTACCTAGAGTTCTCTCAATATTTGGAAATTTTGAATTTATCAGACCTGAATACACTAATTTCACAATCCCCCCCCACCTCTGCACGGAACTGCCTATATCCTCAGATGCTACCTTAATACTAATAACTAATAGTTATAACTAAAAGGAGAGAATAGCTCAAAGTCATCCAATTAATTTTCATGCCTATGACAGAACTAGAATTCAGTGTCTCCAGGTTTTTAACCTGATGCCTTAACTTAGACCAAACTGGCTCTAATTTGGTTAGTGAATTAATCCATTTTGCTACATAATGTACCAAATTGGGAACTTCTGCACATACCATATTAAGCACAACAGAATAAACCACAGCTATGTTTTATGAAGCCAACTAGCATTGTCTAGAACTATATCATACACTTATTATGTCACATGAATTTATTAAGCCCTGATTTATTTAAAGTAGGATTCAAAGGACAAAATATGATTCTGAATGAATGTGGAGACATGGGCAGCACCATTAGGGAAACACCTTAAACCAAATGTGTATTACCCAGAATCAAGTCCAAGACAGACACACCAGGTGTTCCCAATAGGAACAACAGGCATGCCCAGCCCCCTCCAAATTTCACTTTGTCCTTCCGATCCAGATTTTTGCACACCTCACATCAGTTAACTAGGTAAACAAGTTAATTATCCATGTCTGTATTTTCTGCATTTCCAAAAGCCATCTTCTCACGTCCCCTTCAATCATAGGTATAAACATCCTCTTGGGTCAAAATAACACCATTGCAAGCATTTCAGGAAATTGGGTTAATAGTCCAAAGACGCTTATGTCACAGTATATCAGTCTAGAAGCCCTTAAACTCAGATAATGGCTTAAAACACCAGCAGGAGTCAATTACTAATACACGCACGAGGGTGGTTGTTTTTTAATCGTGCGTTTTTTTAAAAACAAAAAAAAGCACCACCGTCATTAACAAGGGATTTCAAATATCTAAAACGGTGTGGTGCTTTGTAGACCCGCTCCGAAATTTACTGTAAATCCCTCCGAGCAGGGGATGGATAAATCCCGGGGCGCCCTGGCTTCCTGAGGCTTTTACTCCACTTACTACTAGCCAGGATAGCTAGAACTGATGATGGAGAACTAGGAGGACAGCTCGTCCTCCCCACCGCCCCTTTCCCCACGTGAGGGTGGTTCCCATTCGCTTGCAGACGCGGGTCTCTCTCCGCACGCGGTTTCTCCAGCCTGGTGCCAGAATGGGCGCCGCTCACACGTTCAACTCACCGGGAGGGAGTCGCTGAGCCGCGTCCCCGCGTAGACCGTGCCAAACCCGCCGCTCCCGATCAACGCTCCCAGGCGGTAGCGCGTCTCCAAGGCCACCTTCCCTGCAGGGAGAAAGGGAAGACAAGCCGGGTGAGTTGTGCCGGGAAAGCCGTCCTCGCCGCCGCCTCTTCTTTTTCCCATTCACAAAGACGCCCGGGTGCTACTACCAACACGTGCTGCCGGCGCTGGGGTACCTATGCATCCAGGCTCCTCTTGCACGGCGTCCGGGGCCAGCGGCCCTTCAGGACCCTGGCGGTGGCAGGTGAGTCCCTGTGCTACAAGCATGGCCAGCCAAAGCAGCGGGCGGCCCCCGCCTCAATCAAGCCTTAAAAGCCTCCGCCGCCCCGCCCCGCCTTCCTCCGCAGCCACGCGAGTCGGGATTGGGGAGGGGGGGGTTCATTCGGTTTTACGAGGTTATCCACTCCACGACCACCTTGGCCAATGGGCAGGCGAGCCGCATGACGGAGGGGAGAGCTGGGCCAATCGGAGAACGAAAACCTTAAAAGTTTAATGGCCAGCCGGCCGAGTCTAATCTACCAAGGGACCAAACAGTCGGCAAAATACGCGAGGACGGGAGGGGGGGGGGAAATGTCCTACCCGGGGGCGGGTACGCAAAAATACTCCAGCCAATCGGAAGGCGCACGGCGCGCGACGCTAGCCAATCGAGGAGAGGCGCGCGAGAATTCTCCCCAACCCCGCCGCTTGTTTATCCACGTGGGAGCGACCGGCGCAGCAGTGCTGGAGTTTTTGCAAAGGGAAAAACTCCGCCGAACGCGGAGTCCTTGCACCAATCCTGCAGTCTCTTTCCTGTTTTGTATCTTTCCTTAAGTTCCTTCCAGTTAAAGGTAACTAGCAACTCTTAGTAACTGCCGACTAGGAAAAACACGCTAGAGTTGAAGTTTAGGAAAGTGTTCTGTCGTGGTGGATTTGTGGTGTGGACTTACTCCTGTTCCTCATTCAGACGAGCGCACTAAAAAAGCGCGCCTACGTCTTTTTGCTTACTTTGCCCATTCCAAAGAACCAGTTTAGATTTTATAAAACGAGGCCACAAGGCCTCCCTGTTCTCCACACACACTTTTTTTTTTTTTGCAAACATAAATGCAGGTATTAGTTACGGACTAACTAATCTCAGATTAGGTATATCGCTAAGGTTGTCTGATTGAGACCTTGAGTTTCTAAGCAGCCCCTTCCCTATAGCGGGGTTAGAAGAAATCTTTCCTGTTTAATGCAGCCTTTACTAACAAATAGTTTGGCAGCCTGGTCAAGGTCTGTATCTGACAAACAGGAAAATAGCAAGATCCTTTCATACTGTAGTTTCAAATGAGAAAGAACAACTTCTAATTCAACTATCCTGTAAGGTGAAGCTGATTAATGTTAAATGTTGGTTTCCTAGGTACGGGTCCTTATTGATTTATGTTGTATAGGGTTAGTATATTTCTATTCTCCCAAGGCCAAAAGTACCATAGTGAAAAACAAGGGAAATGCTTTTTAATCTTTTTAGGAAATACAAACTTTTAAATCTTTTTATATCTGCTTGTCTGTTTTTCACACAGCACTTTGGTGCCTCATCTTTTCAAAGTCTAATGCATTTTACTCCTGAAACAACATGGAGGTCAATATATATGACAGAACCAAGTTGAACTTGGACAACTATAGCACGGTTTGGCTTGGTAATGATGCTTACAGTTTTTGAAAACCTTACATATTTTAAAAATGAATCAGCTGGGGAAAAAACCCTGCTAACACACACACAAGCTGTTGATGCAGTGAAGTGTGAGACACTGACTTTAAAAGCCTTCGATTAGTGAGCAAATGAAACCTCTCCCTCAACAATCTAATCCAGATACCAAATGACTGAACAGACGTCACTATTTTCTGTCTCCTTCAGCAGAGTCTGCCAGTTTGGTTTCACTTTCCTGCAATCCAAGCCGACAAAGATAAGGCCAAAACTATCCACTGTGCTGAGAGACATAAATTCCTTAGGAATGCAGGAGTTGCCCTTAAGTCAGGGAGCTCCAGCTATAAATGACGTCTTCAGGAGGTTAGTATGAAGTTTGCTCAACCTAAGAGAAATTGTGGCAGTGATTGTAGGAGTTTGGACAGGATCTTGCACAATGGATTTGGAGGAACATGATGTTTCTCTGCCTTCTGGCCAAAGAGACACTTTTATTTACTGTGTACTTTGTGGGAGATTCTCTGTTGCTGGGAAATGGGGAGGGGGAGAAGATAGAGGACATAACTGTCATGTGAAATAGTGTTGTGAGGCCAAAGTACTGGCTAGCTCTATGTCATCCCAGTGATCAAAAGTAGATCCTAAAAGGTTATTTAAAAAGGATAGTGTGGAGTAGAGGAGGGACGATTTTGTCACAAGGACAAGACAGCAACCTTGACTGAAAATGCATTGCTACCATTATGTGTTTTTCAGTGACACATAAATTTAGAAGGGCCATCGGAAAAAAAAGAATGCAAACAAAATAGATTTTTTTTTAACCTGATAGATCTGCAAGAGGGTAAAAATAGAATGAGATTTGTTTCCAGCAAGTTTTCTATGTCAGTCAAGAAGATAACAGGGTAACAGAGTTGAAAGGGACCTTGGAGGTCTTCTAGTCCAACCTCCTGCTCAGGCAGGGAACTATACCATTTCAGACAAATCTCTTCTTTAAAACGTATAGTGTTGGGACATTCACAACTTCTGGGAGCAAGTAACAGAAATTTCTCCTTAGTTCTAGGTTGCTTCTCTCCTTGATTAGTTTCCATTCATTGCTTCTTGTCCTGCCTTCAGGTATTTTGGAGAATTGCTTGGTTCCCTCTTCTTTGTGGTAACCATTGAGATATTGGAACACTGCTATCACGTCACTCAAGTCCTTTTCATTAAACTAGACATAGCCAATTCAGCAACCATTTTTTATATGTTTTAGCCTCTAGTCCCCTGATCATATTTATTGCTCTTCTCTGCACTCTTTCTAAAGTCTCAACATCTTTTTTACATCGTGATGACCAAAACTAGATGCATATTCCAAGTGTGGTCTTACCAAGGCATTATAAAGTGGTATTAACACTTCACGTGAACTTGATTCTAACTTGCAAAGACATTTGTTTACAGTACTTTACAGTACTTTACTCACAGACATGAGCATATAAGCTGGAAACATCAAAAGAAGCACAGATGCTGCCATCTAGCTAGATGGCTTTAGATCAGATACTATATCCCAACTCTACTTCTCCTTCAACAGGAAATTTTTTGCAATGTAACGTATAGAATTTTAATGAGTATTATTGAGATGTCTGTTTTTTAAAAATATTTATATCCCATCTTATTTTCATAAATAAAGTGGTGAACACACACAATATTCCTTAGTCCTATTATTCTCCCCACAGCAACAACCCTATGAGGTAAGTTAGGCTGAGAGACTGGCCCAAAGAAGCCAGGAGACTGTGAGTTCTAGTCCCATCTTAGGCACGAAAGCAGCTGGGTGACTTTGGACCAGTCACTTTCTCTCTTAGCCCAACTTAATGTATTAAGCCAGACTAATGTTGAAAAACACTGGCAGAATCTACATTTTAAACTGCACATTTAAAAAATATGATATAGTGGGCTATGTGAACATAGCCTCTGTAAAATACCCATATGAATATACAAATACTATGTAATACATTAATTATCTAAATTGATAAGTGCAAAGAAAAATAAAGTGCAAAGAAGAGCAACTAAGATGATTAAAGGCCTGGAGACAAAGACGTATGAAGAACGGTTGCAGGATTTGGGAATGGGCAGTCTGGAGAAAAGAAGGACTAGGGGTGACATGATACCAGTATTCCACTATTTGAGAGGCTGCCACAAGGGGGAGGGGGTCAATTTATTTTCCAAAGCACCAGAAGGCAAGGCAAGACAAGAAAGAATGATGGAAACTAATCAAGGAGCGAAGTAACCTGGAACTAAGGAGAAACTTCCTGACAATGAGGACAATTAATCAGTGGAACAGCTTGCCTTCAGACGTTGTGGGTGCTTCATCACTGGAGGTTTTTAAGAAGAGACTGGACAAGCCACTTGTCTGAAATAGTATGTCCTGCTTGAGCAAGGGACTGGACTACAAGGTCCCTTCCAGCTCTATTCTGATTGATTGGCTGCCCATTTCCACTGGACTCTGAGTTTTAGAGTAACAAGTCCCATGTCTCTTTGTCCTTGGCTTATCTTTTTTCTTCTGTATTGAATAGGTCTTTTATCTATAAATAATACATATTATTTTATGTATTTCAAGCCATTCTAGCAAGATCTATAGAGCCCAAATGCCCATCTAGCATCAAGCCCCATCATAGCAATCAAATGGATTGCTTTAAAGGAGAAGAGTTCATTTTTAAGGGCATCTATTTATAAACAATTACAAACGGTTGGCAACAGTGGCATCCAAGGAAATGGAAGGGGACAAAGTTTGCATCTTGGCAGGTAAGGTATTATGATTGGAAGCCCTGCCCCACTTGGAAATATATTTATCCACATCAGACACAAAAGCAAGCAGAAAACAATACCCTAATCAAGAGACTATCAAAGAGAACACTGTACCCCCAACAATACTAGCAGGGCAAGCTACTGTATATAACAGGGAGCAAACTTCACATTCACTAGCACAAATGACGCAATTTAGTTGAGTAATGAAACACCAAGAAAGTACCAAGTCCTCCACAGTTCAGTCTTGAGCTACATAGGTTCTCTTCTATAAATGTGATTGTGTTGCACACTTATACAAAAAGGACAAAATTTGAGTATCTCCAAAAACCCACTAATGCAAGAATAGGTGCTTTTTCTAAGTCAAGGATATATTTGGAACTTGGGAAACCTTCACAAAATAGCTACCACGGGATCCTTGCCTCTTAATGAAATCAGTGGCATGATGGACATCACCACTTATAAAACAATTCAGAGAAGGAGAACCAGTTCCAATGAGGTTCTCCAAAGGGTATTTGTAGAATCCAAAGGTATTGGTGCAAATAAATGAGATGGTACCGATTTTTATTTGCATTCTGCATCCCAATTTCCTGTTTCATTTTAAACAATTAAAAGATTAAAAACCAAATAGGGGCGAGATCCCAAACACAGAAAGGGTCCAAGGGCACATTTTGTGTAGACTTCTGCTCTGGCCACTCAATTCATTGAGCTGTGAAAACCTGATACTTAACATATATTTTAACCAATCCAAACCTAATCTGGACTTAAACCAGACTTAATAGCCAGCTAGAGGGATCACAACTCTCATCCTCAGCCAGTCCTTGTGGCTTTGGGGGATGTGAATTGTAGTCCAATACTAGTTTAGAGAAAGTTAACTATAAACCTCAAGGGAGCTAGCTAAAAAGCTTGTAAAGCTAGCAACTGCTGACAGGAGTCAGCACTGAGCTAGAACACCACAGTCTCCTTTACATTTGGCAACAAGTAACAAGATGGAAATATTTCAGAACTGGTCTTCAAACTTTGTTAAGAATGGTTTCAGGAGTCCAGTCAAGGAAAAAATGCTATTAAAATTAATCATATTCAGGCATAAAATACAGCTTGCACTGGAAATCTTGAGCAAGTATATCAGAAGTCGGGGTGAAGGAAAAGATGGAAGAGGGGGCATTTACACAAATCACAATCAGATTTAAACATTTGGGGGAGCGGAATACCAGATTGTTGACTTTTAAGAAATGCAATCTACCCAGTCTTCCCCAACTTGATGGTCTCCGATTGTTTTGAGACCACAACTACCAGAAAGCCTAGCCTTGGCTACTAAGTTGAGGAAGAAGGCTATTCAGTGGCCATTATCTATCTATAGCTGCAGCCTCTGGTGTCACCAATCTCCCATCGGAAGCACTTGGCTAGGGATCTCCAGAGACACATCTACCTGGGCTTAAAAGACATTCCATCTCCCCGTGGAACCTTGGGAACTGTAGTTCATTTGGGGTGTCAGCCCTCCTGGACAAGATTCTGCAGGGGAAATCCTGACAGCTAAATTAAAGCCAATGCAAGGTCGTGGTGCGGATACGATAAACCCGCCCTGAACACGCAGAACTTTAGGTGGGAGCCCCAAATCCCACAACCAATGGACAATTTGAAAGTACTCAGACGAAAGTGGTGGTCAAGCGTCCACCACAAGCAGGATCGAGCCTGCCCTTGCCCCCAGTGATAGTGATAGTTAGGGTTGAAAACAATCCATATGCAGACTTTTGTGCATACCCCAAACTACCGGGGTTTGTAAAACATCCCCCCCAAGCAAAGCGACCCCCAGCCCTCTCGATTTCCCTCCCCCCCCCGCCCAGTCTCTCCTTGGACGCTTACCTTGAGTCGGATCCTCTTTGAGGCATCCCGCGTTAAGCATGGTGTGATGAATCTTGGGAGGGTAAAGAACCTGCACGGAGGACATCGCGGCCCCTTCGACCCGGGGGTGACAAATGAGCAAAACTCTGGCGAACCAGAAGCAAAGAAACGCAACTCTAGCGACCCCCCCTCCCGGAGCGGCGACCGGAATCCCAGCGAAGCCTACGGGATTGGGAAAGCGGTCTCGGCCCGCCCCTTGTGCGGGGACGCCACGCCCAGCTGTAGCTCCCGGCCGGGCTCTTCCCAGCTGGGACATTCCCCCCCCCCCCGCCTCAGCTCCTTTCTTGGCGTGCTGCTCTGGTCTCGGTTCGTCCCTTTGCCCAGCAATCTCCACCTGCTGCCTTTTGGCGACCAGCAAGATATTTCCCGGCTCTTTCCTTTTCTGGATTCTGCTGCTGCTTCACAAATGGGGAAAAGTCTGCACAACGAAGAGAAGGGAGCATCCCGTATTCCCTTTGCTTCTCTGCTTAGGTTTCTGGGCCCTGGGAAACGACCCTTTGCCCCATAGAAGCAGAGACTGACTAGTTTTGATGTGGTTTGCATATTTATGGCTTAACACAAAATGTAAACCCACCAATTCTGGTTATCCAATTGTGGGAAGAATCTAGAGAAAGAAATATTGTGGGAAATATTAAAAAGGCAGAATATATTTCCCCAAAGGATCTTAAAGGCAGAAACCAACCCACCCCCCCAAGCCTCTCTGCCCCAAACAGAAACCAGGTCTGCAGAAATGCAGATGTGATAATCTGGTCAGAAAGATTAGAGCCAGGAAGCTTGGATTAGAAAGACAAAGATCCCTAGAATCAACAATTTCCTCACCCCAAAAATCCAACAGTTATCAGCCACAGCCCCAGGGAAGCAGGATATGACCTTTGGGATATAATAGGATTAACCCACCACCATCAGAATACCAGAAATAAACACTCAGACTCTGGTCAAAGTCCATGCCACAGGAACAACTCCAAACAAAAGGCTCAAGAAGGTATAAAAACCCACTACTCCTTGCTACATGTGGTCAGCTTTCCCAGAGCCATCTTTCTTTCTGGCTCTCCTCTTCAATAAACTACAGCCTTCTTTCTAAAGCATTTTCCACTTTGTTTATTCCCAGCTTGGACTGAACCCTGATGCTTTTTCTTTCAACACAACAAACCATGATTAAGCAAACGATTGCATAGTGGTATGCATTAGCAAAGTGAGTAGACAGCTTTGTTGCTTCATTTGCTATCTTATAATTTTTGGAAGCTGCCATATTTGGAAGGATGTTGGACACTTGTGCACTCACTGTCCTTCTGAAGCCAATTTCTCACAAATGATTTACAGGTAGTTCCTGACTTACAACCATTCATTTAGTGATTGTTCAAAGCTACAACAGCATTAAAACAAGTGACTTACGATTGGTCTTTACACTTATGACCATTGATTTACAACCATTTATGATGGAAATTCTGAACCCAATTGTAGTCATATGTTGAGGACCGCCTGTATTAGTGTTATGGTTTTGTGTGCTTTGCTGTTGTCTCAGGACTTGAATGATTCAGCCACCCTTGAAGTATGATGTTTTGTATCACAGGAAGGTATACAGGAGGGTATTGGACCATTAGCAGAAGGAACAAGACAATAATTCCAAACCTTCAAATCTACAAGGCATCAGGGCTAAAAGTTTTTGGACTGGAAGCAAGGGTTTCTGGGCTGAAGAGAGCCATCACATAAATTTTTATTAGCTGCCTCCCAAGGCCAGCAAATAAATCCAGTCAAGTATCTGTTAACGCAGGCAAGAAGAAAGAGCCTAGTGTTTAAATACTGGAGCATAAACTTGATACAAATGCTCTGACTTCTTTGCTTTGTAGTGGCAAATCAAGTTTTGCATTTAAGGATCCATTCTTACTGGTGATTCATTTTCTGGCCTTGTCCTGCCATGTGTGAATCTTCAGCTCTGAGAGTTAAATGTTTGGAGAAACAGAGATTTACTACCAACCCAGGTGTGAAGTCTGACAAGACTTGGTGAAGAAGAACAACCCAGATGTTCTGGATGATAGACCCTGTAGCAATTTTATTTTATTTTATTTTTTGAAAAATGTATGCAAGCCATCTCCCGTACAAGGTGACTCTGGGTGGCTTACATGTAGTATTGTTGTATTGATGTGTTTGCATATGGTTACAAAGAAGCATGAACGAAGACTTCTGATCCCGGGAAGTTTTGTATTCTTCAGTTGTGAGCTTTGGTGAGCAAATGCTGAGGCATAGTTGGAATCAGATTTGCAAGATTCTGTTAGTACAACCAGTCTCAGTAGTTTTAGCCTTCCTATGGAGTTATTTTCTTGGTCTGAGCTACTTAGTGGGGCTAACAGTATTAGA